CCCCCCCCCCCCCCCCTGGTTTTCTATTTATATTTCACCACGCCAATTCACTTTACAATACAAAAACGACCACTTTCAAGACCACTTCCTTTGTACAAACTCAAACATAAGAAGATGATGGGCCTTGGGAGTTATGGCTACACAGCTCCAATGGCAAGAAGAACTGGTGCAGTGTATGGTGTTCCTGAGGGAGTGGACATAAGGGGTAGATATGATGAAGAGTTTGCTAAGATTCTCACTAAGGATGCTTTGCAGTTTGTTGCTGAATTGCAGAGAGAGTTTAGGAACCATATTAAGTATGCACTGGAGTGTAGGAAGGAAGACAAGATGAGGTATAATAAGGGGGCGTTGCCAGGTTTCGATCCGGCGACGACGTATGTGAGGGAGGGGGAGTGGGTGTGTGCATCAGTTCCGCCGGCCGTAGCTGATCGGAGGGTGGAGATCACAGGTCCGGTGGAGAGGAAAATGATCATCAATGCACTCAACTCTGGGGCTAAGGTTTTCATGGTGAGTAAGTACATTCGTTCAGTTTCATTTATAGACTCATGTGCATGTATGCCAAGTGCCAACAACTTGTGCTTAAAAAAGGCCAAACATAAGTGCATGATCAATTTGATAGTTTTTCATCCACCTTTGAATATCAAGCAAGGTAAGACAGGGTAGAGAAAATGCCTCAGAGTCAATGTTTGAGTACCAGGTGCTACAACGCACTAATCCAAGTCATAATATCAAAATAACAACACTATTTGATGCATATTTAGTATACATACTAAGCACAAGGAATGTTGAACCAATTCATGGTTTTTCTACACAAAAGATAGGTATTCTTCTTCTTTGTTTCGTCTTTTGTTCTAGTCTTCTAATTTAATAGAGAAAAAGTTTCTTACAAATTATCGAAAGATTTCTTAGAATTTATCGATACAGTTTATTGAGCTCATTCTCATGTCATCTAACAGGATGTATATTAAGACCCACCACTTATAAAGCAATAGGCACTGCAATTTTTTAGGAACCAGAGAAAATCGAAATAAAAATTATACCTCTAGACACAAATTTAAAAAGAAAAGGATCTGTATAGAAACTTATCATCTAAGTTCCTGAAATCAGAATTACAAGAAACACCAATAGAAGATTTTCAAACTGCTCATAGTCAGTACAAGCATACAACTTTGTTAAGTGGGATTCAAATTCTCAACACTGCTAAAAAGGATTCCCAAATAATGATGCTCTGTTCTTCATTCTACAATTTCAAATCCATGATTCAACTAAAGCGTACCTGGTGCACGAGACTCCTGTATGGTAAACAAACTAAATCCATGATTCAACTAACAAACAAAATTGAACTTGCCATGCTTATAGGCTGATTTTGAAGATGCCCTCTCACCAAGTTGGGAGAACCTTATAAGAGGGCAAGTTAACTTGAAGGATGCTGTTGATGGGACTATAAGCTTCCATGATCAGGCTAGGAACAGGGTTTACAAGCTCAATGATCAGACTGCTAAACTCTTTGTCCGACCAAGAGGGTGGCACTTACCAGAGGCCCACATTTTCATTGATGGTGAACCTGCAACCGGTTGCCTTGTGGATTTTGGCCTTTATTTTTACCACAACTATGCAGCATTCCGCCGGAACCAAGGTGTAGGGTTTGGTCCTTTCTTCTACCTCCCAAAAATGGAGCATTCAAGGTAATGTCGCCTGGTTAGAGTAGCTTAAAGTTGTATGGATTCCTGTTGTTCGTTTGTGTGTTGCTTCTTGGGAGTTTGAAAGCATAGAGTTCATAACTTTCATCACCACCATCGACACTTCGTTTCTTGAAGCTGTCATAAAGAATAGGGCCAACACCCAAAACTATTATACCTCCAACATGATCTATCACCCACCACCACCACTCCACTATCAACACCACGGTGTTCTCGTCCTTTTGCCCCTCTTGTTGAAAACTATGTCTAAAGTGGTTTCACTAATTAGAAAATAGACAATTTCTTATAGGCATTATGTCTTGGCAGGGAAGCTAAGATATGGAACAGTGTGTTTGACAAGGCAGAGAAAGTGGCTGGAATAGAGAAAGGAAGCATCAGAGCCACTGTTCTAATTGAAACACTTCCAGCTGTCTTCCAGATGGATGAAATCCTCTATGAATTGAGGGATCACTCTGTTGGGCTGAACTGCGGTAGATGGGATTACATATTCAGTTATGTTAAGACTTTCCGGGCACACCCTGACCGCTTGCTACCAGACAGGGTTCAAGTTGGCATGACTCAGCACTTTATGAGAAGTTACTCTGATCTCCTCATCAGGACCTGCCACAGGCGTGGTGTGCATGCCATGGGCGGAATGGTATGTAAATGTTCTTGCTCTTATGCATCCTTAGATAGGCATATTTATGCAAAGTTTGCAGTCTTGGTCCCTCTCATGAATGTGAGTGCATGAATACTCATACACAAGGGATCAGGTATACATATATATTGGCTCACCCGGTCAAGTTCTTGGCTAAAAAAGATTCTAAGACACTCCTCAGCCTACTGAACTTCACTTTCAGTAGCGTTTGCGTGAGCTATCGCTTACTCAACTTGAACAAAGCTATGTATAAGTAGGCTTTTTGCATGTATGATATGAATGTAGAGTTCGGCATACAAGGGTCGAGAAAAAGAGAACTAATGGAAGACACGAGATGAATATTGGATGAAAAAATGAGTGAGGATTGGGTTTTTGCATTCCAGAGTTATGCAAAAACAACCAAGGCACAAACAGGTACTGTGGCATATTGTAACTGTCTGGAAAAAATAAAAGCCATTAAGGGTTGGTACTTTTATATAAACTAGTTCAGCACATTCGGTATCTTTTAGAAGTGGTTTGAGTGATTTGTGATTATGTTATGCCAACAATCTTTGATCTTTAAAATTTGAACAGGCAGCTCAGATTCCAATCAGAGATGACCCTAGTGCAAACGAGGCAGCACTGGAATTGGTAAGGAAGGATAAACTAAGAGAGGTGAAGGCAGGGCATGATGGAACTTGGGCAGCCCACCCCGGGCTTATCCCAGCAATCATGGAAGTCTTCAACATCAACATGAGCAATGCTCCTAATCAAATACAAACCATGAAGCGAGAAGATGCCGCAACCCTGACTGAAGAAGACCTCTTACATAGTCCCAGAGGAGTCCGAACCATGGAAGGCCTCCGGCTCAACACTCGTGTTGGAATCCAGTACTTGGCAGCTTGGCTCATGGGAACTGGGTCGGTTCCTCTGTACAACCTAATGGAAGATGCTGCTACAGCTGAGATAAGCAGGGTTCAGAACTGGCAATGGCTGAAATATGGAGTGGAATTGAATGGAGATGGAATTGGGGTGAGGGTGACCTTGGACCTCTTTGGGAGAGTGGTTGAAGAAGAGATGGCTAGAATTGAGAGAGAGGTTGGTAAGGAAAAGTTCAAGGGGGGAATGTACAAGGAGGCTTGCAAGATATTCACTAGGCAATGCACAACCCCAACACTGGATGATTTTCTGACCCTTGATGCTTACAATCACATTGTCATCCATCACCCTAGGGGATCATCTAAGCTTTGAACAACTTCATCATTCAGTACTTTATGCAAAAGATAATAAGTTCTCGGGGCTTTTTTTATGTCGCTTGTTTCAATGTCAGTGTTGTGTCTGTTTTGTGAGTACTACTGCTAGACTCAATAAATTGTAGTTGCTTGTTATTTTTCCAACTTTCTATGTAATGCTTGAAGTGCATCAATTAACAAGTACTTTGGAACTGAGGTTTAGCTTGTGAATACGAGCAAGAGAAACATTTATTCTCACAATTTGACAATACAAACTAATGAAGCGTTTCTCTGATGCCTTTCAGATTTAAGCCTCTGTCTTTAATGTTTTCTAGTATGAAGAAGTTCATTTCAAAGCATCTCATTTCATTATCTACAAATGATGAACCCATAAACAATTGTCTAAGCAAGGAAGACAATTTCTAACACAGCTTGGGAATCAAAATGTAGCACAAGTATAAATACAAAAGGCAATCTGAAGTAACAAATGCATCTTGTAAATTGAATTGAATCCTAAGGGATGCAATTAGGTAAAACTAGCAGCGAAGAATCGAAAAACAGATCAGCAAATGCCAAGCTTGTAACAGCCTGTACATTTGGAAAGTACTACTACTGTTACACAAATGCGATAAGCTTAGTTTCAAAAGTAACTTCTTGTAGGATGCTTGTTGGCTTCCCAGTAAACATATATGTAAACAGTGGTCATGTCAAGAGTAAACCATAATAAAGAGCAGAAATAATACAATTTTAGTTTGTTTCTGGCTCTCTGCTACTAGCCTACTATCCAATAGAACTTTCCATCAGAAACACAACCCCAACATGAGAATTAAATAAGATCACCAAATAGTAACCATAAGGCATTCTCATATGCTATATCATTCAATGTCAACACCATCCATGCAACTTGAACAGCCAAAGAAATGTCATCAGAAGTCCAAATCGACTAAGACAGACAGCCTTCCATGATTGTCTATCTCTGGTAACCCGTAGCTCAATCTAACGCAAACTTAAGTAAAACATATAGAACTATTTATGCATGGTTTATTTTTAAGCTTCTATTGTCTACATACCGATTCTTAGGCAACATTTTTTTTTGGAATTTAGTTTTAACCTCAATGTTGTGGACATGACCATAAATTGCTATAACCAAATTGTATCTCTTGCAAAGCTTTTGCAAGCTTTCTCTTCCCACAGGGTCCTGAAATGAGCCTTGAAAGCCATAGAAATAAAAGATGAGGAGGACCCAAGCACACGATAAGCAGCAAAGATCAGCTAATGTTGATTCTACAGGTCCACACATGCAACACAATACTCAGTGAATCTATACTGTTCAAAACCCTGTTTCCAATAAGGTTCGGTCAATACAAAAAGTGCAAAAAAAAATGCTGCTATCCATGGAATACTAAACTTTAGCTCCGTTAGATATGTTTTAAAAGGAAATATTGGATACACTAGCACTAATCTAAAAGTTTACTGCAAGAAACCAAGATTGAGGACATTTGGATGTTATTGTTAACAATTTAAACACAAACAAATGGCGCGATAATAGGAATAAGGAAGTACTTTCTAATTCAATCAAATACCTTAAACATATCAAAACCCAATAACGAAAAAGTCCATCCCTAACTGGTTATGACTTTTTCTTTGAAGATACAACTTTCACAATATTTCATTCCAATCCACAAATGCTACTATGCCTTGCAAGCTGTTGTTTACGGAATGTTCTGTGATTCTTTCGTCCAAAAACTGCAGAATCGAACAATAATTTTGAGCCAAAGATAAAAATTAAAGCAAAATTAACTAAATTTTTTCGTCTATAGAATTCGAAATCCAACCATTCTTATAACTCAGAAACAGAGGTTCCTTTGGGCCCAAAAAACCCAAGAATTTGAATTTCTTTCGGAGACCTGATTTTCAGCTGACATGGAAAAGCAGAGAAGAGAAGGGAAACAGGTGGTCTCGCAAAGAGGGGTATTTGTGGGAAAGAAGAGGAATTCGAGGGTAGTTTAGTAATTTGACAAAGAGACCCAAGGGTAAAAAAGTCTACCAAAAAATTTAGACCATTTCTCGATTTGTGCGTGTCATCCTTGCGCAGGGGCCATGCTAATCTTCTCTGTATCGTTCCAATTTTATCGGATGTCCCCGAAGGGACGAGGTCTGGCTTTGAGGCTTCGTTATATAAAGGACGAGACTTGTTTCTGTGTAGTCGATGTGGGACGAGAGGTTTTAAGGTATTAGTTAGTACAGTGTTTTACTTTCCACCGTCTGGCTGTGGAGTTCGGTTTTGGTGCAGCCCACTTCTTTGGATTTGGGAACTTAGTCAGACTGATGGGACCCAAAGTCTGAAACAAAGTGTACTTTATTTGGGAAATGCTGACCGTTAGATTTTAAGATGTAATGGTGATGGGTTTGATAATCTTTTCAACCAGAAGTGCAAGCATAACATACAGTGATTGTTGGATTGAAATTTTATTTTAAAATACTAAAACTAATATGAGGTGTATATATGTTAAATTTTATTTTTATAATTCATATTCAAATTTATTAAAAAGTGAAAATTGGATCTTATTCAAAGAATTCCATCATTTCACTTGTATAAGTCTACTCTTATAAAGAAATTAAGAATAACTTCGTATTTGACGATATTATGTAATATTAAGGGAGGAAGAAGAGAGAGGTAAGTGTTAGTTAATGGAGAGAAAATTATATTTTGTGGAATTTTATATTTTTTTAGAATAAATTTTGTATTGCATAGAAAATTTGATGGCATAAGCCAGTTCCGGTATAAACAACTTTGATAAGAAAATATATGACATAAATGACTTCACATTTTGATACAAATAAAATATCAAATCACATACAACAAAATAAATTTTAATTTAAATTAGAATATATAATCGAAATTTAATTCATTAACAAGTTTACTATTGGGCTTAATCCCAAATCCCATGGTTCCAGATAGGGGTGTTCATGGACCAAGTTATATATGGGTCCTGTTATTTGATGTAAAAAAATAAATTTGAAATTCGATAGGTCTAATAGTTAGCTCGCTCAAGTCTGTGTCGAATATTCTTAAAAAGAGGGATTGAGTTTGCCCCAGACACATTACTCAACCCAAAACTNAGGTCTGGCTTTGAGGCTTCGTTATATAAAGGACGAGACTTGTTTCTGTGTAGTCGATGTGGGACGAGAGGTTTTAAGGTATTAGTTAGTACAGTGTTTTACTTTCCACCGTCTGGCTGTGGAGTTCGGTTTTGGTGCAGCCCACTTCTTTGGATTTGGGAACTTAGTCAGACTGATGGGACCCAAAGTCTGAAACAAAGTGTACTTTATTTGGGAAATGCTGACCGTTAGATTTTAAGATGTAATGGTGATGGGTTTGATAATCTTTTCAACCAGAAGTGCAAGCATAACATACAGTGATTGTTGGATTGAAATTTTATTTTAAAATACTAAAACTAATATGAGGTGTATATATGTTAAATTTTATTTTTATAATTCATATTCAAATTTATTAAAAAGTGAAAATTGGATCTTATTCAAAGAATTCCATCATTTCACTTGTATAAGTCTACTCTTATAAAGAAATTAAGAATAACTTCGTATTTGACGATATTATGTAATATTAAGGGAGGAAGAAGAGAGAGGTAAGTGTTAGTTAATGGAGAGAAAATTATATTTTGTGGAATTTTATATTTTTTTAGAATAAATTTTGTATTGCATAGAAAATTTGATGGCATAAGCCAGTTCCGGTATAAACAACTTTGATAAGAAAATATATGACATAAATGACTTCACATTTTGATACAAATAAAATATCAAATCACATACAACAAAATAAATTTTAATTTAAATTAGAATATATAATCGAAATTTAATTCATTAACAAGTTTACTATTGGGCTTAATCCCAAATCCCATGGTTCCAGATAGGGGTGTTCATGGACCAAGTTATATATGGGTCCTGTTATTTGATGTAAAAAAATAAATTTGAAATTCGATAGGTCTAATAGTTAGCTCGCTCAAGTCTGTGTCGAATATTCTTAAAAAGAGGGATTGAGTTTGCCCCAGACACATTACTCAACCCAAAACTCGGTCCAATAGCCCAACTCGCGTTACCCCTTTTTTGAAAAAAAGTTATACTTTTAGAACATTAAATTTAAAATTTTGAAATAAGTCTTCCAATATCAGAATTTGAAATTTTAAAATTTTTGATATTATAAATAATGTAATATTTTCTTTTCATGTATTAAGCATATATGTTTTATAGGGTAGAATAATACAAATGATAGATAAGTGAATATATGTCAACCTAGTTGAGATATATTCATTCTATTGGATGTAGTTCATTCTATAATAAAAAATAAAATTATTTATTATTTTATTTTTATTTATTTTAACTATACTTTTGATTCAAAAATATAATTTACACAAATAATAAGTTACAAAAATATTCATTATTTTTAAATGAACTTATATATAAAAAAGTCAGCCCGCAAGGCCTGCTCATAGGCTCGCATGTTGGGTTGCAGGTAGCCTACTCCTACACGAAAGTCAGGTCTAACTCGCTCGATAACTTACTTTGGTAAGAGTTTGAACCTACATTACCCAGGGCCGCCCCATGAACACCCCTAGTTCTAGATGCCCTAATATTTAGAAGAAGGGTAAATTATAAGGGGTACAATAAATTAGACTTATTTGTCTAACTCGCTCGATAACTTACTTTGGTAAGAGTTTGAACCTACATTACCCAGGGCCGCCCCATGAACACCCCTAGTTCTAGATGCCCTAATATTTAGAAGAAGGGTAAATTATAAGGGGTACAATAAATTAGACTTATTTGTCTAACTCGCTCGATAACTTACTTTGGTAAGAGTTTGAACCTACATTACCCAGGGCCGCCCCATGAACACCCCTAGTTCTAGATGCCCTAATATTTAGAAGAAGGGTAAATTATAAGGGGTACAATAAATTAGACTTATTTGTCTAACTCGCTCGATAACTTACTTTGGTAAGAGTTTGAACCTACATTACCCAGGGCCGCCCCATGAACACCCCTAGTTCTAGATGCCCTAATATTTAGAAGAAGGGTAAATTATAAGGGGTACAATAAATTAGACTTATTTGTCTAACTCGCTCGATAACTTACTTTGGTAAGAGTTTGAACCTACATTACCCAGGGCCGCCCCATGAACACCCCTAGTTCTAGATGCCCTAATATTTAGAAGAAGGGTAAATTATAAGGGGTACAATAAATTAGACTTATTTGGTAAAAAGTACACACTAAAAAATGTAGGGTTATTAAGTTCATAATTTTGATACTTATTTGTATCTAAGTACACAATTTGAATTTGTCTAATTTTTTTGTGACATTTTTGTCCTCTATTGATCCATGTGTATGTTCTTTAGAAAGTGGTGCATTAAATATCTCCTAATTTTATGAAAAAACTTTAGTATTTAACGCACTTTGATTTATACGTATTTGTTAATATATATAATTGTATATATATATAAAGTGTAACATTGAAAGTGTAAAATGTAAAATATTATCTTATATCTCACATTTCTTAATGAAAAGTGTAAAGTGTTATAGTGTAATATTGAAAGTAACAATAATAATGTAGTAATAATAATGTAACAAACTATTTACACAAGGTAAGGGGAGACATTATCTAAACTGTTATACAAACAGAATATACATATCTTATCTTACACTAAAAATGCTAATTAATTGAGAAAGTGTTACACTTTTAATGTTAATATATAATATTTTATATTTTTCATTAAGTAAGGTGAGACATAAGATAATATTTTACATGATCAAATATAAATTTAGATAAATTATGATTGATATAAAAATTATATTTTTTAAATGTCAAATTACAATTCATAAGAGAAAAATTACTTATGCTCAGAGAAAGTCTATAATCGATTATACACATATATAATCGATCATGATCCTCTTGGACCACGAAAGTTATAATTGGACCACGTCTCTATCCTTTGAAATTCACGCATTTTAAGGCACAGAGGCCTACGTGCCCCGGTTTGGCAGCCACTAAGGGACACTCCTCGAACACTGATTGGTTTAATCTGGGGCCCAGTCACAACGTCCACAATTCGCCCCGGTGAAAGTACTTTCACGTGGGGTCCACTCAACAATATTGCCACGTTTCACTCTCCACCAATCACGTCTTTCAACTGTTCTGGCCACCGTTTCTCACACCTGTTAGATTTCACACGCGTCACCTGTAGAACGCTTTATAAATCAACACTTTGCCGTATAGTTCTCTGCATTCAAGTGCCTCCTGTTGCCTAACACCCACACAGAAGAACTGTCTAGACTCTAGAGAGAGAGAGAGAGGGCATATGGATGGAAGAGGTGGGTGTTGTATAGCTAGGTATGCTGGTTGCTCGTACGATATGTCAAAGGTGGACCGTATAATGCTCAGATTCAGGCCGATCGCACCAAAACCGGCTGTCGGTGGGTCAGTTTCCGATGGTTCAACGCCGGGAAAAAGAAAAGTATCTGTCAAAGCTGGACGTGGAAAGAGAAGGTACGTAAGAGATGGTAACAGTTTTAACAAGAAGTGTAATAACAGAAAAAGAAAGGGTTCACCGGAGGAAACTGATCCATTTGATAAAAATAACTCTGGTGGGTCAGTTTCCGGTGGAGAAACGGCGGTGACATTGCCGTTGTTGCCGGAGGAGCCTGATCCGAAGGACTCTCTGGGTGGGGCGTCTTCCGGTGACCACTCTGATGTGACAGTGACGATAGATTCTGTCAAGAACGTACCAATCTGGTTGAGCTTTGATAATAGCCACCCCGTGAATGATGGTCACCTGACCTCTGGGTTTGGCCACGTGGCTTCTAGGACGGATCGGACGGTGGTGATGATACCACAACCGATTAGGCTGGTCGGCTCGTATGTGACGGTTGAATGTGTGACAGAGACGTGGGTAGATGGGTATGGATTGGGTAGTACCGACAAAGAGAGGGTGATGAATCTTGAGCGAGACGCGTGTCCTGGATTCATATCTGACTGTTTAAACAGTGTTAAGTGGGCCAATGGGGCGTACAGGGAGGAGATGTTGTTTGGTCCGGGCCAGGTCGACGGTGGTGATGTGATGAGGGTAAGATTGGTGATTAAGGATGGTGTGTCATTGCCGGAGATGTGTCCGGCGTTCACGTGCCGTTTGAAGGTGGTCACGTGCGGGAAGGAGAGGAGCTCAGTGACTGTGCCTTGTGACGTGTGGAGAATGGAAGGTGGTGGGTTTGCATGGAGGTTGGATGTCAAGGCTGCTCTGTGTTTGGGTCGCTAAACAAAGTATTGCACTCCTCTTCAATCCACTAGTACTAGTCGTATATGATATGACACATTATATAAATGGACATGCAAACCTTAAAGTTGTGAATAGTTTGGTTTGTTTTTGTCAACGGTCTGCTCTCTCTCTCTCTCTCTCTCTCTCTCTCTCCCCATCTGGGTGTTTGCTATTCAGTGACAGGCTTGTTCGAATTGGAAGGAAAAGTATATATGTAATTATATCTCTGTTCGTGCTGGTATTTCATTTTTCTCTGTTGTTATTGGTTTTCTACGCAGTATATTGACTAAATTTTGGAATAAATTTAGAGTCTAAATGAAATAGTAGTTGATTTGAATTTTTTTTATTTGGTGTCATGTCAGCTTGAGTTTTAATAAAAACTTCAAATAATATACTGTTATGTCATTTGAACTCTATATTTGAACAACATAACATTATTGTTTCTACTGTTATATTAACGTACATGTGCATGGTATGCAAATTATTAAATTTTGTTTCGAAACAATCAAAGCATTTTTGTTTTTATGAAAATTGAAATCAGTAATATCAAAATTCTTATGTTTTTAGAATTTTTATTTATTTCGATCAATGTTTTAAAAATAATTTTAATTTTTTTTTAACTTTCGAAACTTTTTTGTTGGCATAGTGAGAGAGAACCAAGTTTAGTTTTATTTTTCATCAAGGGTATGAACGTAAATTAGTATTGTTTGGAAGTCGGATTTTTTGTAGAGATTATTTGATCGAGTCTGAGGTGGTGCAAGAAACAGAAATATGGTGAAAAATGATAGGAATATATTCTGGAATAGCATGTCAATTCATGTATCGATTACGATACAAAATTAACATAAAATTAATTTATTTGAGTTCATTTTGTTCCTTTAATTATGAGTGTTCAAATTTTTGATTATTTATAATTTTTAATCTTATCTAATTCTATTGATCAGTTATTCAAAAAAATCGAGTAAATAATGGAAGAAATTTTTGGTCTTGTTAAAAAAAATTAACATTTGAATAAGATTGTAGAATACCCATCAAATTTTTTTTTTTATCTTTCTGCTCACTTGTCTTTTCCTCTGCCTCTCTCGTTGCCTCCTCTTCGATCTCGAAGACCCTCACCTGTTTTGTGCACATAAAGGCAATCTCTCGTTTCTCTCCTCCCATTCCTACACTCGATCACACAATCTTTTTGGACTTTTTACATTTTGTTCCTTAAAAAATTTTCTAAAGTAACTATAACAATGCACCGAAACCAATTTTGATCCTTGTATGTAATCAATGCCTCCAAACAGAAGCGTATTGTATTTGTAGTATCGACAAAATAAAATTAAATAATCTCTAATTTGGCCCCAAAAGGTAAATTGGCTTTGAGCTGCCTCCCACACTCTCTGGCTGCTTGTTTCTTATCAGTTTCATTAAACTCCAATGGCTTTCCCACCGAGAGAGGATCGCGAACATCAATAATCATCTTCTCAAGAGAGACAGCATTTTCAAGCAAGTACATGACAAGCTCAACATCATTCGTACGCCCAACAAATCCCATAAATTCCACCACTTTTGAGACATTGATGCGGACATTTGGTAGGCGCAGCCTCCCGAATTTGTCTATTGACACTACTCCCCCGCCAATTTAACTGCCACAATGAAGAAGAGTGTCAAAGCATGCTTGTTGACACATGTTATGTGTATAAAACAACTCGAACCTTAATAACACAAAAGAACATGAACACAAAGAACTAAACCACTCTTCTCAGAAAAATCAAATATTCTCATGTTCATGACATGTTATAAGGAAATCCAAGCAACTTGGCCATCAAGAAATGGTTTCCGAAATCCCAAGAGACACAGTAACATTCGAATTCCAAAAAGATTGTAGGCAATAAAAATTTCTAAACATACCCATCAGCCCACGGGATCAAGTGATATGAAAAGTGAAAAGAATTCCAAACCCCCCACCCCCTTTCCTTTTACAATGAGAGCTTAAAACTCATGAGAACTAAATAAAATAATATCTGTGACAACATTTAACCCTTGTGTATTTGGTATTGCAATCATTAGCAAAAGCAAGAATTAGCATTATACGTGGCTGCTGTACAATAGGTGGAAAGAATCTGTTTTGCTACCCCTCTCCCCCCCCCCCCCACAAAA